TCAGCAGCACCAGCCCCCAGGACTGCCCCGGCCGCCCAGACAAAAAAAGCAGCAGGTTATATATAGGTAAGTTCCTCTCACTGCATTTTCAAATGGAGAGACACAGATATAGCTAGTTTCTGACATTCCATTTGCTAATGGTGCTCATTTTACAGATCTCAGCTGAAGGGAGAATATTCACAGGATGAGAAAGCGAATGGCCGAGCTGAGGATTTCAGTGTTTCCTGCTGGTGTACAAAGGTCAGATCTTTCTCTTTTAAAGTTGTGCTCTCAGAGCTGTTAATCAAAGTCCCCTCTGCTCAGACATAAAACATTTGTGGACACAGTGCAGCCTCCCACCCCCATCCAATCAATACCCAACACCTCAGTTCAAACAGAGCCCTGTTCAAGGGGAGGGAAAACACAAACCCAGGAGTGAGCTGACACTGCTCATGGCTGACAGTTCCAGGAGAGCCTGGGGTTGGGTTGGGTTTGGTTTGGTTTGACAGTCAGCAGGGGCCACTGCTCCCACACAATTCCCACACCTCACAGGGCTGCAATCACCACTGCAGGAACTACTGAACCAGGATGGGCTTCAACCACTGACCCAGGAGAGAGATCCACACCATCACCAGCTCTCAGGAGCAGCTGGGGGGGCTCAGCCTGGAGAAAAGGACACTCAGGGGGGACCTTCTGGCTCTCTGCAACTACCTGACAGGAAGGGGGTCAGGCTCTGCTCCCAGGGAACAAGGGACAGGAGGAGAGGAAACAGCCTCAAGTTGTGCCAGGGGAGGTTTAGATTGGATAACAGCAAAATAAAATTCATAATTTACAACAGAAAGAGTTGTAAAGCACTGGCAGAGGCTGCCCAGGGCAGGGGTGGAGTCACCATCCCTGGAAGTATTCAAAAAACATTTGGATGTGGCACTTGAGGACGTGGTTTTGTGGTCAACATGGTGGTGGTCCTGGTTGACAGTTGGACTTGATGAGCTTTAAGGTCTTTTCCAGCCTTAATGATTCCATGATTCTGTGATTTCAGCTCCCAAGAAAGACCAAACCAGTCTTAGAAGAGGGGGGGAAATGAGCCACCAGTGCTCCAGGATCAACCAGCAGCCCAAACATGGCCATTCAGGCCTGGGAAGCTTCTGTGCATTGAAACAACGATCTCAAGCTGAAATGATGTGCACAAACCCACACTACTACCATCCTCCAGTAATTCCCTTCAACACACGGAACATTACACCCACAGAATCCCACACTGGTTTGGGTTGGAAGGGACCTTAAAGCTAATCCCATTTCACCCTCTGCCATGGGCAGGGAGACCTTCCACTAGCCCAGGTTGCTCCAAGCCCCATCCAACCTGGCCTTGGACACTCCCATGGATTTACTGTGCAGGCAGGTAAACTCTGCTTGTCTGAATTAAGCACATTTGTATGCAGTTCTGCTTTAATCTGCATGTCCAGAGAAACCTAATTGTGTATTCCTCTTCTCATAAAAACAGGATTTAATTCTCACTCAGCAAGTTATGAGGCAGCAAGAAAAAAAATGTTGAAGTAAAACTATTACAATCAGCTTTGTTGCTCTCTGCTTATCTTAGAAATCAATATAAATACAGTAATTCCTAATTTAAATATTCAGAATTTAATAGCAACTTGTCAGTAAAACCTGGTGTACTTGGGAGTGTTTTCATTTAAATCAAGTTACATGCTTTGGTTGCTACCGAGGCTGAGATTTAATTCAATACACAAAGCATAACTCCAACCCTCTTGTGTTAAAAATATTCTTTAAATAAATAATAGATCAAAGCAGTGTCACTTTGATGGCATATGCAGTCCATGGAAGGGGGAGAGCTAGGATTAAATGTTTTCAGAGCAGCCCTCGTGGAGAAGGGGCGGGGGACACCAGTGAATGCTCACTTATTTTCTCCAGATTTACCACTCATTACTCTGCTGATTCGATTCTCCCACTTATCAGAGTTCTGCCTTCCAAAGAACCTTCAACTTCATAAAAACTCTGAGGTTTTTAGAGCAACAAAGCAGGATGAGAAGAAGAGTCATTCCTTCCCAAATCTTAGTGAATCATTTCCTATAACTATAGCAGAGCTCGGATCACTCCCCAGGACTCCTCGATGAATAAGGCAAAAATCTGCCACTGCTCCTGGTTTTCATGATTCACGGGGACACGACAGATTTACCTGCAACTTGGACAAACAGAGACTTGGTTTGGTTGACCTTTGAGAATTTCTTCATTTAGAGACAGGCTGGTGTGTTTAACGACAGGTGATGGGTCCCAACCCAAGCTGTGACAAGTTCATTTCTCAAATTCAAAACAACGGAACGTTCTCCGCACTCAGCTCACAGCCAGAGCTACATCCTCTTCCAGCAGCATCCTGGAGACAAGAGCACACCTGGAGTCCATCAGCCCTGGCTTGTGGGGAAGGGGGGAGAGAGACAAAGCACCAGGGGAATGGGACAGAGCCTCAGCCACACTGGGGACTGGAGGGAAGGGGCTCCACACGGGATGAGCAGCTCCAGACAAACATCGGGGGCCGTGGACACCAACACGGCTGCACAGCATCCGGATCAGTGGGATCGGGAAACAAGGAAAGAGGAAGAGAGGAAACTTTCTGAGGACAGCCACAACAAGGAATAATTAATGAATGATGCCAGAGAGCACAACAAAGCAGCTCGGGGAGAGGGAGAACCGGAAAGGGGGAATGAACAGCAGTCAGTTAGATTCCAGGCGTTACTTTGTGTCTGCCTTCACACCACCCTTCCCAACTGCTTCCCATCAAACTCCCACCAATCCCAGGTCCTGGGTTTTTATCCAGGTGCCTCATTCCCTGGACAAACCTGTCACACTCCCACTGCCATTTCCAGCTGGGCTGTGGGAAAGCAGCAGCATGAGCGAGCTGCCTTCCACCTCCTGCTCATGGACCACAAGATTACATTTCGTGAATTATTTTGCAGGATTAACCAAACTCGAGTTGGCTGGGGGAAAATATTTAACAAACATCCCCATGCAGCGTTCCAAACCCTCATCCTCAGAGCCCTTCCTTGCCCAGATGAGGTTCTACCTTTGTTATCTCACATCAAATGCTCAGCAGACAGCCAGTGACAGCTAAGGAGGGAAATGAAAGACATGAAAAATAACTCCTAAGATTTAAAAGTAATGAGGTAGAGCATTCTCAAATCAGCTGCTTCTCCTCTCTGACGTGTCTTTATGTGCTTACTCTATCTTCCTATGCACCTGTTCTTAAACAAAAAGCAATGATACACAATGGCAAGTTTGTCCAAAGGATCCCTGATCCAGCTGCCCAGATACAAACGACACCTGAGCAGCACCACCGACCCCGGGGTAAAGTTATTTGGCTCAAGCTGACAGTGAAAACAGAAGGACTAAAGAGAAAATTCTGGATTTGCTTTTATTTTCTTCTCTTACAGGAAGCAGACTCAGTATCGTGGAGTGACCCAGGGCCTGACCTCGTTGAGTCAGACCCTGCAGCAGTGATGTGACAGGCACAACATTCACAGCACAGGAGAGTCTGGGAGGAGGACACTGCAGCTCCACGGGAGTCAGGAAGCAGGAGCTGGGCTGTGGTGATCACTAACCACTGCTCTCTTCATCAGAAACATTCTCTCTGGCCATAACAAGCACGTGAAATGTTTAACACCAACCAGGGAGAAGCTGCTCCTCACCCCCTGCACTTGTGCTGCTGCTGCACAACCTATTGATCACCTTGACCCAGCCAAAGTCATTCCCAAATTAGAAAGAGGCAACTTTGCAGATCAGGAAACAAGTGAACAGGAAGCTTCCCAGGAAGGATCACTAAAATAGACAAGCAAGCTCATCACACCTCCACAGTCTACTAGAGAAAGTCTCTTCTTTGCCAAAACCCTTTAGAGCAGAAAGAGCACACACGTGGTGTCTGTGCCTCCCTTAAATCGCACCCAAAACACTCAGTTCAACCCGGGAATGATCTGGCAAGTCACATTTTCAGTACATGATTCTCCTCAGGGAAATGACTCTGGTTCAGCCAGAGCCTTCCCAGAACTTCTGAGAACTATAACCACCCCTCTAGGAACACTGAGACAGGGACAGCATCCCTGTGCCTGATCATAACGCCTCTGGAAAGAAATTACAGCATGGAACTTCAACAAGTTATTCCACAGCATTACAAGAGGAATCATAAACATAACGGAAACTTGGTCACCACAAAAATTCACAAATATTTATAAACACAAAGTTATGTGCAAAACAAATTTGGGAGCCAGGGAATCCCGCAACCCAAAGCGGATTCCAAGAACTGACTGACTGGAGATGATTATCTGTGACATTTCTGAAGTGTTTTGTTTGCTTTTTACTTAACCATTGAAGTTGGGACACAGACAGGACAGAGGATTCCAGACCCAGCTGGGATCTTTCTTTGTTTCTCTTGGCTTTGTGAGTTTAACACACAGCATGTCTCCAAACACGGGGAAGCTCCCAATGTAATACAACAAGAGCTTCATCCCATAACGATTTCCTGCCTCCAAATTCCCATAATCTCAGTTTCCACACACACAAACACACCTTCATTTTATATTCCACACAACATGCGGGTGGCAAGCTCCAAACCCACGGAGCTCCCGTGCAACTTCACCTCCAGAGAGCTGTAACTGCTCAACCTACTGCACCTGGAGCCTCCCCATTCACCTGCAGAGCTCCTGCACACCTCGTTCATTTTACTGACTTTTCCAAAAAGCACCAAGTGCCCAAATTTCCTTGAAAGAGCTTAAACGATGGAGCTGCTCTAAGAGTGCAAGTACCACGAGCATCAATTCAGTACTTCTGCTCCTTCTGCATGTCTGCTTCCCCTAATTCCACATGACTGGGACACAAACTATGGGAACAACACGCAGAGTTTCATCTGAAAACAGACCCCTGCTGCAGCCCAGTGGCCCTCTGAGCTCTCACTGCTCCCTTTCCACCACTCTCCCCACTCCTGCTCCTCCAAACCCCACCGTGCCCGGGAGCATTACCCGGTCCTTCATCCTCCAGCTCTGGGCCAAAGACTTGGAGCCTTCGATCTTCTCGCAGTGCCTCTTCTTCATGAAGGCCAGGGGCAGGTTCCAGTCCGTCAGGTCGGACTCATCCTCCTCGCCGAGCCCCAGCAGAGGCGACTGCAGCATCTCGGACTCCATCGGCGGGGCGGCTCCGGGCGGCACGTGCGCGGCGATGTCCAGCCCGGCACCCAGCGGGGCCGGGGGTCCCTCCGCCGGGAGGGGGGCGACGGGCCGAGGGCGGCGGGAGGCGGCGCTCCGCAGGCAAGGGCGGGCCCGGGGGTCGCAGCGCCGTCACCTGGCGCG